ACTTCCAAAAATGGTATACTACCGTAAAATTAATGTCCAATACATGTAATGTCCAATACAGTTTTTCACCGTATATAGTAGGGGAATTTACCGTTAACCATTTAACAGGTTTTTACTGTAGCATTTTTACAGTCTTTTACCGTTAAATTCACGGTCATTTTTTACAGTGCTGCTAAGAACGTCTCTCACTCATGGTAAAATCACTGTAAAATCACTGTAAAGTGCTTTAATGTTAATGTCTGTGTTTGTTTAACCTGCAGGAGCTGCTGCCTCATCCACGGCCTCCTCCGCTGGATCTTCAGGTGATGTTTCTTCAGGTGCAGGTTCTTCAGCGTCTGCAGCTGCAACAGAGATCTCACAATCAGACAGGTGACACCATCCCACAGATTTGTTCCTGTCAGCATCAGGAGCATCAGCGGCTGTCAGATCCTAACTCTCGTTTGTGCCTGAAGCGTAACTCAAGCTCTCCTCAAGCGCACAGATGACCATAAATCACACTCACCGTCTCCATCGCCTCGCTGGAATCCGGCAGTAAATCTCCCGCGGCGGTGTTTTCAGCGTATATAAGATCTATATGTTACATGTCGCGACAGTTCTGCATTTCTACCGTAACATCAAACATCCAGTGAGGGAGTTTATCAAGAACAGACCTGTTCCAGATCCTCATATCGGCTTTACAAGAGCTGTTCATTACCAGGATTGTATGACACTGCCTTAACATGACAATACATACAAGAAGTCAAGACTAAATTTAAGCCGTTATTCACTGATAATCTTCCTCTCAAATCGCAAATGCAGGTTTGTTTCCCATCATGCGATCTCAGATGACATCACAGCTAAAAGGAAACGTTTTTTAAACGTTATATCAATGTTAGGACAAAACGTTCTCAAAGTAATGTTTATGGAACTTTACGATTATTTGATAACGTTGAGAAATTCTCAAAACATCCTTATGATGTTATTTGTACTTGATGAACATCTAGGAAATTTTTTTGTAACCTTTAAATAACGTTACAATCACGACAAGAAAACTGGAGATTTTAACATTCTTAGAATATTCTAATTACGTTATACTTTTCTCTGGGGTGAAAATAAAATTAGTTCAACATTTGTGTAACCTTTAAATAACATTACAGTCACAACAAAAAACTGGACATTAAATGTTAAGTAAAAAATTAAATTAAAATGAATGCAATGTTTAGGAAACATTTAATCGTTTTTAGAATTTAAAAAAAAAACGTTCAAATAACACTCGATTTTTTTGTGTGTGAAATTAAAGTTAGCAGATCGTTTTAAGAAGCATTTTTGTAACCTTTAAATAATGTTATAGTCACAACAAAAAAGTTAACATTTTAACGTTTTTAAAATAACAAAAATAAAAGTTCAATAATGTTAAATGTTAAGTAAAAAATAAAATTTATACAATGTTTAGGAAATTTTTTTTTTTACCTTTAAATAATGTTGTGATCATAACAAAATACTGGACTTTTTAAAGTTTTTAGAATTTTTAAAATAAACGTTCAAATAACATAATAATTTGTGAAATTAAAGTTAGCAGGTCATTTTAAGAAACGATTTTGTAACCTTTAAATAACATTCTAATCATGACAAGAAATCTGGAAATTTTAACATTCTTAGAATATTAAAAATAAACATTCAAATAACGTTATATTTTGGGTAAGATAAAATTAGTACAATGTTTTAGAAATGTTTCTGTAACCTTTAAATAATATTATGATCATAACAAAAAAGTGGATATTTTAACGTTTTTAAAATAACAAAAATAAACGTTCAAATAACATTCATTTTTTGTGAAATTAAAGTTAGCAGATCGTTTTGAGAAACATTTTTGTAACCTTTAAATAACATTTTAGTCACAACAAAAAACTGAACATTTTAACGTTTATAAAATAGCAAAAATAAACGTTCAAATAATGTTAAATGTCAAGTAAAAAATAAAATTAATACAACGTTTAGGAAACATTTTTGTAACCTTTAAATAATGATGTGGTCGTTTTTAGAATTTTAAAAGTAAACATTCAAATAACGTTATATTTCGTTTAAGAAGCGTTTTTGTAACCTTTAAATAACGTTCTAATCACCGCAACAAGGAAACTAGACTAGACTAGATTTCAATATTTTAGAAGCATTTCGTTTTTTTTTTTTTTTACTTTTAGTTTTTATTCGAGTTTTTACTTTTAGTTTTATTTATTTTAGTTTTCCAGTTAGTAACTTTAGTTTTTCAACTGAAACTTATTTCAGTTAGTTGCCAAGACAAAATTTTGGATTTTCATTTAGTTTAAGTTTTTCATCTAATATTTGATTTAAGCTTCATTTCAACTAAAAATTATTTTTAATAGTGTTCGTTTTAGTTAACCTGGATAAAAACAGCACTTACTCATAACAAAATCACTGTAAAAACTATAGAATAGTTTAAAACAATGGTCATTTACTCATGTTGTTTTCTATACTTTCATGATCCAAACAAGCACTATATTCCAAGTCTAATGAAGTTGTATGATGCTTCATGTGAAGAACTGATTAAATTTAAGTTGTTATTCTATCTTCCTCTCAAATCCCAAATTCAGGTTAACAGTGTTTCCCTTCATATTATCTTAGATGGCATGTAATGTATGCTTTTTTAGCTTTTTTATCCACTTTCGCTGTGTGCAAAGACAGAAGCTTCATGCATGCATCTCATTTTTTGTTTCAGGGAAGAAAATCAGTCATACGGGTTTGGAAAGACATGAGGGAGAGTAAAAAATTGATGGCAAAATTTGATAGGTGAACTATTCCTTTAAACTTGGAGGAAATATATCTGATATCTAAATATCTCAGTGAATATAACTAAAACGCAGGTGTTTAATGGAGTCGTGTTGATCTGCGGTCTGTTATAGGTCTGACGGCCAACTCTCTCCAATGTGTTTCAGAGTCTAACAGACTCATTACTCATCACTGCAATAGAAAGGAACGGCAATGGAAGGCAGACAGACACTTAACTGGTTACTAAATCCTACAAAAAACTCTGAATCGGTGCCTTTAAAAGCCAGTTTTGACAAAAAGTTCACTTTCATGCTCTGAACAAAGATGAAGTTGAGAACATTGCATTCCTGAAGCACAGACTCACAAAACCTGCTCAATGCTTTACATTCGGAGAACGCCAAAAATCACTGCCAATGGTTAGAAATGGTGGGGAATCATAATGATACGGGCACACGTCTTAAAAACCTCATTCGGTCCTACGATGCAATTGCTAGGGAACATTTTGAAGTCTCTTCTGCTCAGCAAGGCTGCATTTATTTGATCAAAAATACTGTAAAAATTGTGAAATATTATTACAATTTAAAACAGCTGTTTTCTATGTGAATATCTGTTAAACTGTAATTTATTTCTGTGATGCGCAGCTGTATTTTCAGCATCATAACTCCAGTCTTCAGTGTCACATGATCTTCAGAAATCATTCTAATATGAAACATTTCTGATTATTATCAATGCTGAAAACCGTGGTGCCGCCCAATATTTTTTTTGTGGAAACTGTCATACATTTTATTTTTCAGGATTCACAGATGAATAGAAAATCTTTCTTATTCCAAAGTTATGAATGGTTGTGCATCACAGTTTCCAAAAAATAAATAAGCAGCAAAAACATTTAATTTTAAAAAATCTAAATTATTGCAAAATTTTGACCTGTGTTGATGTTTTAATATTATTTTTCTATTACTGTTTAATCTCATGTTGTGTGCTGTGAGATAAGAGGATATCTCTTTCTCAAGGATTGTGTTGTGAAGCAGTAATTTTCCATTGCTTTGGGATAAAAACACCTGTTGAATTTATGCTGGTGGAGAAATACACAACTAATATTATTCAGTGATCTCATTTTCATCCTCACTTTCTCCTCCGCCTCCGTCTGCCTGACAGCTGATAGAAGAGTCAGTTAATGACTAGTTTGGACGCCGGACAACACGCAGTTTGTAGGTTTTGGCTTTCAGAATAATTGCTGTGTTAAACAGATAAATGAATATCTTCTGACGGGAAACAGACTGGATCCAACATTACCGGCGATGGCAGCAGGAACATGACTTTTCCCTATTTCATGTACGATCTACTGTACAAACTCAAGAAGAGTCTCATGATCACAAACACTCTTAAAAATACAATTTTTGGTTCTCCAAAGAACCTTTCAGTGAACAGTTCCTAAAAGAACCATTATTTCTTAATATGAAGAACATTTTAATAATCTAAAGAGCTTTTTTCTACTATAAAGTGCCTTTTATGCAGAGGAAAGAATGGAACCATCAATGCCAATAAACAAGCTTTATTTTTACGAGTTTATATTTCTGAGAGATTCTGAAGGTTCTCTTGCACTCTAAAAAAAAAATGGGGACTTACTACCACAACTTCAATAAATGCATCGTTTTATGAAACTTATGCTTTAATAAAATGCATTTAAGTTGCAAACATCATTTTGATGAGTTCTATTGACATAATAATGTTTATCATTCCATCAACTTAATGTTGTGCAATTTAAAGTGATATATAAACTGAAATTTCTTGCATTTATTGATTTTTATTTTATTTTATTTATTTATTTTTTAGTAGTAGTACAAAAAAGTAGTAGTTGTAACTTAATGAACTTGTCTTGATAACTTTGAAAACTGTGCAGTGGATTTTAAGTTCCCAGCATGCTTTGCATAGGGCTGGATAATGAGAGTAAATGTTGAAATTAAGTGTTATTTGATGTGTTTTTAGTGAAGGGAAAGAGCTGTTAGAGCTGCTGTTATTTGACATTTAATAGTTTCGGTTCTGTGGTTATGATGGTGTTTGGCTACATTAATGTTTAGATCGCATTTACCATGTGAGCAATGACTGCACTAATTCCAGTGATAAATAATATCTCACTTGTTTATTAAATTTACATGCAAAATAAGTTACCGTTAACGTGCTATGCTGTTCATTTGATCTAAATAATAGATCAGGTTAATTGTGTTTTTCTACTTAAAAATGTGTGCAAATGCTAAAAATTATGTTCCTCTAACTGCATTTCAATGGAACTTATTTTATTAGAAGTTGTGGAAACATTTTTTTCATTTTTCAAATTTAAAGATTACAAAAACGTTTCTTGCAACATACTAACTTTATTTTCGCCCCAAAAATGTCATTTGAATGTTTATATTTAATGTTCTAAGAATGTTCAAATGTCCTAAAACGTTTCTTACAACGTTGCAACTTTTTCACCCAAAATAAAATGTTCCTTGAACCTTTATTATTAATATTCTAAGAACGTTTTCTCTCAACATCACGAGAACGTTCATCAAGTACAAATAACACCATATGAGAATGCATGTCAAATATTAATACAATTATAAGAACGTTCCATAAACGTTGCATTAAGAACGTTTCGTCCTAACATTGGTACAACTTTAGTGAAAGTTGCGAGAATAGCTTTTCATGATTCTACTCATACAGAAAGAGATCTACACAGCAGTGCTTTGCATAAATCCTATAAACAACTCCGCAGGTTGTTGAGGAACGAAACACAACAGTGAAGTTCCTGTGAAATCAATCACACCCACAAATTACTGCCATGAAAATGATCTCTTGCTGCTAGTTACGTACATAGATCACAGCTTCTCAACTGCTTTTGCTTCAGGACTCAGATTTTATGTTGGATATCGAGTAACGACAATACCAAACCCGTATTTAATATCGTCCGGGTCGTATTTACTTCTGTTTAGTGTTTTGCTGATGGTTTTGGAGCATGAGGGCATGTCCAATTTGACTACATTTGTGTAAACCACTCTCATAGTTTCTGACGTCAACAATGAAGGACGAGTGTTCTTCAGTTGACTTTTTATCCTAATTATGCATGATTTGTGTTTTTGCTATTTGCATTTAGCATCAAGATCCCCTGCTGTAAATTCAGTTGCATGCAGACATCAGAAGCTTATCATCACCTTCATCAGGAATGGTTGAGTCCTCTGGCGCGAGGTCATCTGCCGGAGAATCTGGATATGAGATAAAAGGTAAATTAGCAACCTGCGTTTATCATCTTTATCATCAGCACAAAAAAAGACACAGGTGGTGTACTGGACCACGTGAACAGGTTGACTTGAACAAACACACTGTGAGATCGCTGTTATGAGGAACTGTAAAATAAACCCGATGTGAGAGCCGTAAAATCTTTCCATCACTCAGGTTTATTGCTTTGGCACGTCACAGAGTTTGCTAGTTCAGTTTTATTACAGCAAACGTACCGGCATTCTCTGCACCTTCCACTCCATCGTCTGAAAAACACAACCAAAGACGGTGAGATTTAACGGATGCACAAATATCTGGTTCATTCAAATCACTCGTTCGGTTTGTTTTCATGACTTTACTATTATAGATGCACAGTACTATATGGGTTATATTTAATTGTGCATGCTCATTTCCCCTATTTTTACATTTGCATTATCTTTAATGTCATCTAAAGCCAGGGTTATTATAGTTTACTAAAACTAAAACGATAAAAATCGTTGCTACAAAATATTAAAAATTTTAATGCATTTTATTTCAGCATGTTTCCAAGGAACATTTTTAATTTTTATTAACATAACATAAAATTAAAACCGTGTAGGCATATTTAAAAACAACAAAACTAATAAAAATGACAAAAACACACAGCAAAATCACTACAGTTTTAACTGAAGTTAACATGAAAGCGGAAAATATAAAAAATAAAAAGTGATTCAAAATATTAACAAAAACCATCACAGTATACTAAAATAACACAAATAAAGCTCTAAATAATGTCTATTTTTTTTCACCTGAAAGTCACCTGTTGTATTTTAAAACTACTGATTTTAGTTGTTAGTGTTTTGTTTTTCATTTATATCAGAAATGGGACAATAAAAGAGTGTGCTATTTATTGGTTATAAAGCAATAACATGTAAGTAATGGTCAGTAATCAGAATTGTTACTATTTTTCTAAAATGTGGAAAACCGTCAAAGATGCATCCAAACTCTTGACTGCTGCAATACGTTTTGAAATGATCTTTGATTTTTCTTAAACAGATGCATCTTCGGTTTTAATGCAAATGAAGTGGTACGTGACGTTTGTTTGCTGGCTCGATGCACATCTAATGCTTCCTGCATCAAGTATGCTTTTTGTGTTGTAAAATGACACAGATGCATTAACACCTTCTTTCAAGGTCGTCACGTTTCAGCGGCTTTCGAGCGAAATCCTGCTTGTATTTGCACAAATGCTAACGATTTTTCTCCCTCAAGCTTTTAATTTCCACAGCCGGCCTTTTATTTGACTTGGTTGGCGCAGTTGGTAGTTGTCAGATTAAGAGACACAAAGGAGGTTTGCTCTAGAGCAGAGAGGAGGGCAGCAACACACCTGTCCACACAAACACAGAACAAAGAGCGTCTCTCTGCACAATCCCTGCCAACAAAATACAAAAAATACAAAGCTGTGGCAATGCATGTGCCGCGCTGCGTCTCTCACAACGGGACAGAGGCACGCAAACTCCCTCGCGTGCATCAAAAGCATCCCTTTCATAACTCCACCATATTCTCCATACAGGGTGTGGTCTTCATCTGGGACTCATGGATTGAATTTCTGAGACTACACCTCAGTCTTTCTCAGTTTACAACAGTGAACTAAATGCATGTTTGCTCTCTACATCTGGATGAAATTTTACATATTAGCAATAAACAGGCGTGTGACATCGGGGAATCAGAATGGGATCTTTAATGCCAGACTTAAACCTTTTACATCCGATCCTGAACATTTGGTTACATCCTGTAAACGTTTAAGATGTGGGAAACTTTTGGATGAGGTCATTATTGAGACTCTGAGCAGCCAAAGCTGTTAGTCAAGAACACAATGTACAAAGAGGGAAATGCAGAGAGCTGTGCTGGCAGAGCTAGGCTTTACAGCTTCCACAAGTCGTTTCTGAGGGTCTTATTTTAGTGACCAACACCACAGATCTCAGAATGCTTGAATTTCCAATCATGCATGTATTATAATATAGTCCTTTTGTTCAAAACATGTGATCTTAGAGCTGATATACAGACTCACCCTACCAACAAAAAAGACATGCATGCTTCCCATTTCATTCAGAATTATCTCTGGTAATTTATATAAAATTAATGCATTAATATTTAAATCATTTCAATTTTTCACTTCATGCATTTGTAACACTAAACAAGTGTGGAAGCAGAAAACAAAGAAACGTTGATTGTTAGTATCTTTTAAGCTATAGTTTAAGAAAACTCTTACCTTGCATCTTCACTCCAGTCACGATTAAACTTCCAAGGACGAAAATCCACAAGCATGACTTCATTGTGGCTTGAATGAAACTGAGCTCAATCGGGTCTTAAACGCAGCTTGCTTTGGCGCTTTTAGCGCGTGCAGATTTCAGGTGTAAGTGTGAGTCGTGTTCGTGCGCAACTTTCCCGCAACCTTTTGTTGCACAAACTTTACTGGGTGTGCAGCTCTGAGTCCACCGCCCACCCACATGTGGGATTGACTTGTGTAGGATCCAATTGCAGGTCTGTCTCGCTTGTTTCTCACTGAAGTCTCACGCAGATGGAGGATGCACGAGGCATATCCCTCCCCCGCCAGACTTTATACGCTTCTGGGTTAAACAAAAGCGGGTTTGCATGCTATAGCGCAGTGCATGGCGTTTCTATTATTGATCCATTCTCGTTTTACTTTAGAAATTCATAGCAAGGTTTCTTGACCTCCTAGAACAATTTTGCCTTGCGCACCCACCCAGCCCCCCGAATGCGTCTCGAGACGTTTCCTAAACGAGCTCCTAAACGAGTTTCAAAGCGGGCTGGCTTCTTTTTAGACAGCGGTTTTGGGCTTACCAGCTTGCCAGAAACCCACTTATGCCTGAAGTGCTGGGGTTTTGAGACGCAGCTCCATTCATCCGTTTCGCACCTCTGGGGAAGTTCCCTCTTTAACGTTCAGGAAACCTTTCACTGTTGAACTTCAGCAGCACGCACTGCGCTCGAGTTCGCGAGCTGAATATCATATCTGTCTTCAGGCACGTTTCGTCGCTCAGAACGCAAACTGTGCTAATTCTTTGTTTGCACGGGTAACTTATCAGAAGGGCGCGGCGCGGATGAGGCTTAGTAAACAAACAGTTGGAGTTTTTTTAAGTAACCATAAAAAGTGTACACTGCAGCAAAAAAAACAAACAAACTGGTTTTGGGTTTACTTTGAAACAATTGCTAGTACATTTCACAACTAATTACTAAGAAACTGCAAGTAATGCATAAATAAACGTGACATTTTGATGTACAAAGACTTATCCCAGATAGCACATGTACGTCTGCAGGGTGTCTGTTAAAGATCGCTTCATCTGGAAAGCATCTGCTGTGTACAAACATCTGATAGACATCTGTAAGACATACATTCTAAATCATAAACATCTTAAAGGCATCTTCTAAACGTCTATTTGACATCTGATAGGAAAGTATTTCAGTTGAGCAAACACTCTAAAAAATACATGCAATATAGACGTCTCTGTGATGTAAGTGTGCTATCAGGGGAGTATGATTTCTCGTAAGACAAACTCCAATAATCATTGTTTTATCGTTGTATTTTCACCTGGCGGCAAATACTCGTTTGTGCGCAGAGGAGGTAACCATAGCAACAGTATACGACTTGAGCGCTTTACTATAGCATCATCAACAGTGCCAAAATTTGACTCTTTATAGTTTTATTTATCATAAACTAACATATCTCAGAAAGTCAAGGGGTGTGTATTTTCATCTGGCGTTATATAGAACAGAATTTGCATCTCTTGAGGAGGTAACCATAGCAACTGTACGCTACTTGAGCGCTTTACGAAAGTGTCATCATCGAATGTAACTTTGACAAAACAGTGTCAATATTTGACACTTTATAGTTTAATTTATCATTAAAGTATCTCGGAAAGTCAGTACAAGTCAGTCAGGGCGAGCAATTTGACCTGGGATTAAACAGTACGCGACTTGAGCGATTTATCGGCTAAAATGTTAACAAAACACTGCCATTATTTGACATTGTATAGTGTTATTTGTCACAAATGTATCTCAAAAAGTCATTACAAGTTAGTCAGGACGCGTAATTTTACCTGTGGTCAAACAACCACTGGCGAACTGGAATTGCTATTGCTGAGGAGGTAACCATAGCAACTGTACGCAACTTGAGCGATTTGTCGTCTAAAACGCTAACAAAACCGTGTCATTATTTGACACTTGTAGCATTATTAATCACAAACATATCTCAGAAAGTCAGTACATGTCAGTCAGGTCGCGTAATTTTACCTGGCATCAAACAGGGAATTGCCATCGCTTGAAGAGGTAACCATAGCAACAGTAGCGCTTTTTCGAAAGCGTCACAATCGGATGGAACGTTAACAAAAAGTACCAGTATTTGACACTTTATAGTTTTAATTATCATAAACATATCTAAGAAAGTCAGTGTTTGTTAAAGAAAAAAAGTCTAAAGTTGACGTTTGGCTAACTGGATTCTGCGAAAAAATTAACCCTTGAAAGTATAGCTGTATCAGTGGCCACATAGTACTAATATCTCAGATAAAATAATAATCGTATTTATGTCATAAATTAAACAGATGTGAGTTTTTACACTTCACAACGCTCTTTGTTCTTTTGTTTGTTCATTTCCATCATTGAGGGTCAATCTCTGTGGTCTCCCCCCTTCACACGGGGCTTCATTGGACAATTCCATCCGATGAAGTTGAAAAAGGCGAATCAACCTGTTCCACAGCAGAGCCAGAGCAGTCGGCTTTCTCCAGAGGATCGCTCATGATGCGTCTCCACCACGAACGACGGGAACGCGTGTGAATAAGCCGCTGGAAATGTCAGTGCGGGAGATCCCAGCGTCAAAAGCCGAAGGTCTGGTCGGATGGTGAGGAGCGAGCGGGCGGTCGAGCATCCATGCGCCGCGGCGGACTGTTGCGAATTGAGCTGAGCTCGTGCGCCGGCTGCTGAAATGCAGTCTCTCATCTCACCAGTGACTAAGGCTATCCTTGTAGCTCTGTTTATTTTTGCCATTTTGCTCATCCTCTATGTGATACTGTGGTATATATGCAGAGACGTGGACTGTGATCACGGCATTTGATTTTGGAGACCGAAGCTGCGGAGAAGTCAGGGTGACCCCGGTAAGTGCGTCCGCATGCCCTTCATTCACACGTTATCTTCGTGACACAACAGTGGATAGAAAAAATCATCATTTGTAAGTTATGCGTCCGTTCGTTTTCTATTATAGCGCGCAATTGCACGCGAAGTGATACATATGTCACTCTGCAATGACTCCACGGCTCATCAGACCACCATCATCTTGTTCATTACGAATGAAAAGACATGCACTTGAACGGTTATTCACGAAAAATAACATTTGAATAGGTCGGTTAGATGTTCATTCAGTTTTGGTTCCATGCACGTTCTGGGAACGTTAGGTTACGGTTATTAAAAAAATGCATCTAAAAAGAATATTCGCAGAACGTCTGGATGAATCTATTAAACGTTCTGCGTTTAATAGATGTACATTCGCGCATAAGGGTGAAGGAATAGCCACATTTTAATTCCCAAGCATTTCAACGCAGATTGCATTGTTGAAAAGTAACTAGTTAAACAAAAGTCGGACGCAAACAAACAAACAGCATCTTCATGCACGAAGGTTATGGGAAATAAACAAACTGTTAATTACCCCAGGTTGCTAGATGCATCTACTGTAAACAAGATTTGATGCTTGATACTAATTTTCAGCCAATGTTTTGGTTTTCAGCACGGATTCTTGCACTTTTGTGGCACGTAAACGTTCAGCTGAGGGACGCAGAGATTGACCGCAGTTTTGCAGCAGTTTATTGCAGTCTGTGCTCTTTGACCTTGTTAAAAGCATTGCATTCTTGCAGCTCTGGGACCTGAGGAGACAGACAGCGTGTCGAGGGCAATGGTTTTCTGCTTCTCTTCGCTATAGAGATCATAAACAACACTCTTCTTTAATATTACCCTTGCTGTCTCTCTTACCTTTAATCTCTCGGTTAATGAGCATGAGTTGAGGCGCTCTGAACTCGAAGTGAACCATGCATATTTCACGCTCTACATGCTCGCATTATTGGTTAAAATGGCCAATATGGCTTGTGAAGGAGAACCCAAGGGCAGATGCAGATTGCAGTGTGTTTGAGGAGCCCTGTTGAACTCATCTCAGCAGGGTTCACGAGGAAAATGGCATTTCATACGCCTTAATCACCACAGCCACTTATGCATTTACACCAGACCAATAGACATTAATCTGGGCCGATTTATTCATGCACATGTCAAAGTCTTTTAAGTGAGATGTGCTGATTTGTGTATTAATTAAGAACAAAACATGCAAAATGCAGAATGGATCTCAGTTGTGATGGTATCATGGTCATTCCCGGAGTGGGTTGGAACGGGAACAGACAGAGAATTAAGTGTCACACTTAAAGACAGAAGGAACATCCCCAGACAAATCATATCAAACGCTCCTGTTAGTCCACTGCCTGCCCGTCTGTCTGTCACTCAACAGGTTTTGATGGGTATGCTGGGGAATTCACTTGATCACAGTTCCTTCATGCAGTCCCTACAGAAACCAATGCCTTAATAGCAATGCTTTGTAAGACTATATATGAAAACATCTGTATTTGTGCATCAGTGCAGTGTTGTAAAGGAAGCATTGCTGTAGTCGTGCATCACTAAAATGTACGAAAGCCTATTTCCGTCACGGGATAAAATATAATAAAGGTAATTAAGACTTTTGATCTTACAGTTCTGAGAAAAAAGACAGAATTGTGAGAAAAAAGGTCGGAATTCTGACGTTTTTTTCTTATAATTGCACATTTATTTCTTGCAAGTCTGAGTTTATATCTCGCAATTCTGTGAAGATAAGCTATAAACTCAATTCTGAGAAGAAAAGCCAAATTGTGAGATATAAACTCACAATTGCACAAAAAAAAAAGTCAGATTTGTGTCTCTAAATTACTTTATTATTTATTCCATTGCAGAAAAAAAAACTGAATTGCAAGATGTAAATTCAGAATTCTGAGAAAAAAAGCCAGAATTTCTAGATATAAACTTAAAACTGCAAGATTAAATAAATGTCACAATTATTATAATTTTTTTAAAATCATGGTAACGTGCTTCCATAAAAATGTAATTGTGCTTACATTCTCATCTCAATTCAGAGGATTCTGAAAGCCTTGGCAATCGGATAGTTTCACAAGTTTGAATGATGCAAAATATGCAAGTGACTTTTACCACAATATGTGTTATCATATTTTAAATATTCAACTGATATAATTGAGCCTCTAACCCTAAACACTGCACAATTTAAAAAAAATATATATAACATGCACATACTGTAAACGTAAAGTCACAAATCATAATTTATTCTAGTATTGAAAAGCGTCATAAAAGTAGTCTGTGTAACTTGTGCACTACATTTTAGTCTCCTGGTGTCATAAATCTGGCTTTACAGTATTTGAGGAACATGGCGGCTTAAATTTCAGTTTGTCCCTCACACTGAGCTATTGTGTTTCTTCAGAAGAA